TCTTGATGATATTTACTTCACAACCATAATATTAAAAGAGTGTATTTTCCTCCCTCAAATTCTTTAGTTTTTTTTTTCTAAGCTAGACTTCTTTTCCATGGCTCTGGCGCATTTGTAAGTTCAAAAGTCAAACCATCTTTCACATGTGTAGACATGTGGTGTATTTATAGTAAAAGCAGTCGTCTACTTCTTCCCACCATGATTATCATTCTCAACCAGCAACCCCAAAACCATTATTGACTGTATTGACTCATCCATTGATGAGCTCTTTTCTTCCCTGGACAATGCCTGCAGGAATGGAAATCTGATGCTGCACATGACTGGTACAGAGCAGGAGGGACAAGCACCGGTTAAGTCTGGTCATCTACGGACAATGACTTTCCAGAATGGTTGCAAGGTTTCCCCACTATGTACTAAGTGCAATTCTCAGCCTGCAATCCCAAGACATATTATTGACTGTATTGACTCATCCATTGATGATCTCTACTCTTCCCCAGCAGACACCATCAAAATTCTCAAGCTTTACAATCTTGATACCTTAGTGTGATTGAGTGGAGATAAGAAAGAAGAAGAAGAAGACTCTTCCCCGGCAGACACTATCAAAATTCTCAAGCTTTACAATCTTGATACCTTAGTGTGATTGAGTGGAGATAAGAAAGAAGAAGATGATTATCATGGCCTATACCACGTGTATACTAGGGATATTAATAAAAAAAATAATTTTCAAAGGATGAGATTAAAAAAAGTGATAATTTGGTAGAGAGGGACTTTCCAATATTTTGTTGACTTTATGAGGGGTTCTTCTCCCAAAAGCTCAGAGAACATTCAAGGAAGAACATCCAAAGGTGTTGGAAGTGGGCCGTCTTCTCTCTAAAATTCACTCATCCATATCAAACGATGGCAATAATACTGCTACCGACACTTGACGCCTCAATAGTTCCTATTTGCATACTGCCCAATCTATCTCTCAATTTGAATAGGTCTTCTTTGGTGTAAGATAAATTAGACCTGGGTATTTCCAAGCTCTTTATTACATCAATTCTTTCATTCTTTCCTGAAATTTGCCTTTTTTTTTTTAGAAATTAAATTAACTGAATGCATTATTTTGAGATATTTAAATTTAAAAAATAAAAAATATTTAGTACATTTATTGAGATATTTAAAGAGTGCTGCGCTTCTATTGTGTAGGCATTTTATTGTACTATGAGAGGACTATTCCCGCTAAAGGACAACTCTCTACAAAGGACAGTTTTCATCACCTAAATTACCATTTTAACTATTTAGCAACTCTCTGATAAGAGGAGACCTCTCTAAAGGCCATTTTGGCTTTGCAACTAGATGTCTTTTACAGAGTTCTACTGTATTAGAACCTCCATGAGAGGACACTCACTACCTTTCTACACAAAGAACATCATAAAGAACAATTTGGATTATAGATTATAAACACAAAGTAATAAGACCAAATCCAAATAAATAGTGTGTGAGGTTTCGGTAACAGCGTTGTTACCAAGATGTTGTCACACACTATTCATGTGTATGTGGTGCTCTTACAGTAAAAGCAGTCCCGCCATGATTATCATGGCCGCATGTACTTGATAGATATTTGTACGGACTGGCCTTAATTAAGGCAGGAAATTGGGAAAGAGGAAGAACCAATCAGATTAGTGGGAAAGATATGCACAGTGTAAAAATAGACGTGATTATTGATCTTCGAGTTGTTGAGATCCTGCCTCTACATGGTCTGGGAACAGTGGACAATGTGCCAGAGCAGCTAAGCCAGGAGGGGGCTGAGCAGAGACTGGGATAAGTCTCCAAGTCCATCCTACTATGGAGGATGCCATTTACTTATCCTTGAAGTTGGAAACAACTTATAAAGATGGATGACCCTACTATTGGGTAAATGGCCTATGGATGTAGAAGGCATGGGATAAACCTTTGCATTTATTTTCCTATAAAAATCCTCAATGAATGGACCACCTGGAGAAAAAGACAACATATCTGAATGGCTATGGATTGATTGTCTTGGTGGAGAGAGAGAAGCTGATTGAGAAGGTACACCAGACTCTGGACTGAGTTGTGCCGTAGCTCTACCAAAAAAGACATAGCAATACAATACAGTAAAGCTATTTCTCTGCCCAGGACAACACCTACTTGCAGAGTATAAGTGTCCTTTAGGGAAAGGTGTCCTTTTACCGTATAGTTGATAATTAGTAAAAAAATGGTATTTTTGGATATGAAAAACTGTTCTTTGTAGAGAGGTGTCCTCTAAGCGAAAGTGTCCTCATATGGAAGTTGTTCTACTGTATTTGAGAGGAAACACAAGGTAATAAGACCAAATCTAAATAAATATTGTCTGACCTTTCGGTAACAACATTGTTACCATCATCAAAGAAAAATACTGAATGGTCACTGAAACATCACACACCATTTATTTATTTGGATTTGTTTCTAATCTATAACCCAAATTGTACCTAATCCTTCATGTATTTGAGAGGGTTATCGAATTGTTATAAGATGGAAGTTGGTTGGCTAGGTAATCCTGGAAATGTTTTCACTAAGTGCAGTTCTCCCCTTGTATTTGCATATTGTAGCATTCCTTGGAAATGTTAACACATATTTGTATATTCCCTGTATTTGCATATCGGGAGATAGTCTTAATAATCTGAGAGGCCATCATCTATCTCACTACAAGGTTGGTGACATCTCCAGAAATGGCATCTCTCCATATTTACATCTCCTGTTGTTTATTCCTTTGTGCTGCCAGCACATGCTGTAACTTTTCGCTGTTTGATCAAGTAGGGGGAGATGAAGAAGATTTGGAAAAGGTAGGCTGCTGCCCACAAGCATTAATTTGATAGGATATCGATGATATGGCACACAATTTGGATTATAGATTATAAACATAAGGTAATAAGACCAAATCCAAATAAATAAATAGTGTGTGACGTTTGGTAACAACGCTGTTATCAAAACGTCACACACTATTTATTTGGTCTTATTACTTTGGTAGGATATCCTAAAATTGCTGTGTAGGGTTGGTACTTGGCCCTTCTGAATGTGGAAGAAGTAAAGAAAAATACTTTATTTATTGAATATATTTTTTTCTATTGTTTTCTATTTATCTTCAAATTGACCACCGTGTAATATTGGTATAATAGTGGTATTCTTGACCCATCTATTCCCAATGTCACAGAAGTAAGGACGAATGATTAGGTACAATTTAGATTATAGATTAGAAACACTATAAGACATCAAATCTAAATACAAATAAATAGTGTGTGATGTTACGATAACACACAGCGTTGTTACCATCATCAAAGGTACTGAATGAAACAGAATGAAGGAAAATTTCTTTCGTATTGTTTGGGCATTTATCCAAATTAGGCAGTTGGGTTGTTATGGAAATGGTGACAGGTTGCAGCTCCTTAAACATCTAGGCCACACCACCTCAGCACACGTCAGTGTAGTTTGGATGGACATCCTCCTCAGTGGAAGTGGGGAAACTGGAAAATTAACACAAAGCAATAACGCGTCATCTATACATATAAAATGAAAGGATTTAAAAGCACGAATGTTTCTTTTATACATAATACAAACTGGAAAATGTTTTTTTTTTTGGTTAAACTTGCAAAGAGTCATTTAAAAAAAAATTCTTCTTCTTCTTTTATATCACAGTCTTGATAGCTACAGTAAAACCTTTTTAAATAATCATCGATTTCGCCTAGAGAAAATTTGGATACTAAAACCGCTTGTACTAGCCATGTGTTTCCTTTATAAAAAAAAAAAAAAAATGCGCAAGATTTCAAGTCTTAGAAGTGATAAGGCACAATTTGGATTATAGATTATAAACACAAGGTAATAAGACCAAATAAATAGTGTGTGACGTTTCTGTAACAGCCTTGTTACCATCTTCAGACAAAAGTGCTGAATGGTAACAACACTGTTACCAAAACGTCACACACTATTTATTTGGTCTTATTACCTTGTGTTTATAAGTGTTAGA